TGTTAATAATGGCAATAATAATAATGATAAAAAAAAGTTCTTGATGACTAAACATGAACAATCCTTTGGAAGACAAATCTGAATTTTTACCTGAATTTCTATGGGAGAAACGATGGACTCTCCATCAGATGTATAGGAAAATGCCAAACAACAATTCCACTTAAGAATGTCTTCTTCCCTACGATGAGTTTTTTATTTATTTTTTTATATATGTGTATTATCAGATACATATTCATTCTTTTATCATATTTCTAGTTTTATATAAAAGACCCTATGTATGTCTGCACATGGTTGTTCAAGTTAGGTTTCTGCGAAGCACGATTCGAGCAAATATTTCATGCATATGGTTTTTCTCAAGAATGTTTACGAAGGTGGGACTTCAGCATATTCTTGTGAGAGGCGGTGTACGGGCAGTAAGGACAAGGAAACGGCTTTTCCCCCGTATGTAAACGAAGGTGATCCCTGAGGAGCTCTTTGCGGGTGGTACTGTACGAGCAGTATGTGCAAGAATGAGGTTTCTCCCCTGTGTGTTTTAGAATATGTCTGCGGAGCTTAAAGGAATTGGGTACGTTGTAGGCACAATAAGGACACTGATGCAATTTTCTGGAGGAGGTTATGCCCTGCCAACCTTCGGTAGGTCGTCTAACATCAGTCCACAGATGGTTGGAGTCCCACTCCACCTGTAGAGAAGGCTTTATCTTATTCTTTATCCTAATACTAAGAAAAGTGTTCATATACTAATGATCCTGAATGAAAATGTATACAAAACACATTCAGATGCACACAAAACAACTAATAATAATAATGATAATAATGATAATAAATAAAAAAACATGGTTTCCATTAGATTCACTTTAATACAAAAATCAGTCACAGACGTCTTCAAAATACAAAAATATTTCAGTCATTTATCCAGAAATACCTATAATTCATCATCTCGGTAATAATCAAGCTGTATGATGGGGCTATCATTCAGAATTAAATCATCAATCAATAAAGGCTTATTAAAAAAAAAAAAAAAAAAAAAAAAAAAAAAAAAAAAAAAAAATCCATATACATGTTTTATATCAAATTCAGTATCAAGATTTTTGGCTTACAAGAATATCTGGTAGTTTCATATTACTAGCTAGATTCTCAGAAAATCTAGATTTTTGTAGGCACACACTGTGTATGAAAGAGTACAAAGTAAATGAACCTATGCAATAACAAATACCTCATGACATTGAGAGAGAGAGAGAGAGAGAGAGAGAGAGAGAGAGAGAGAGAGAGAGTGAGTGTGTGTGTGTTTGTGTAGTTGTGCTCATTAAGTAATGCTGCCTGCTCAAGTAATGCATCTCCCATTGTTTTTCTCATCCATAGTAAAAACCACCATAAGTAACAAAATAAAATCATATAGTAAATTACTTCAAGTAATAGATATTGACAATAGTCAAGCATGTCAGGTGGGAAAGAATCCATATCAAAAAGGAGAGATAGTGGAAGGAAAGAACTTTTTTTTTTATTTACATATTTTCAATGCTGTAACAGTATTCCTACTTCAGCAGTAAAACAATTTAAATGCCTTTTAAACTAATGTAAAATGAAGTACAAATGTATAATTTGTGGAAGATAAAGGCCTGGCTAATATTTTTCACTAAATAAGAGGAACCTGTATGAGGGTGAAAAAATTTAGCGTTGGCTGCCTGTCTTGTTTCCATTATGATTTCCTGCATTTTTGGTGCAAGTCGGAAGATCTAGTAGTGTCTGATTGTCATTCTAGAGGGTATGACATTGTCACTGGTGACACCCTGAGATTGTTTTAATGGATGCAGACCCTCATATGAAGAATAGAGCAAAATTAACAGGTATGGGTCACAGATCAATTTGTTTGTGGGTTATTAGGTATCAGTAGGGGCTACCTATGTCCCTCACCCTGGAAGGACAAAGAAAATATTTCCTCGTATAAAGACTATTGCCAAGCGAGAGTTGAATAATCCTCATAACACAGCCAGTGTTTTTAAAAGAATTGAGAAACAGGTTGCTTGGAAACATCCAGATTTTTTATGGTATTGGGTTTCATCTTTGGAAGAGGATTAGGTTATTTAATTGTATTGCCAGCAAATGTTCAAGTCAAAATATTTATTCTGTGCATTTGTTTTTCAGTACCATTGTAAATCTGGCAGTAGGGCAAAATCTGTAACAAACTGGCTCTCTAACTGTGGGGTACAGTATATCGAGAACACCCCAGATATTAATCATACAGAAAACTTATAATTTAACATGATTTACAAAGCAAGGGCACCAGCTCCCTTTACCTGCCAAAGAGTTATGGGCAAAGACTCCTACTGAAACCCTTCAAAAACTGGTCCTATCATTGCCACAGAGGCTTAAGGATGGGAAAAGACACAAAGTATTAAAGATAGAAAAAAAAAAAAAATTACAATGGGTTTAGTAGACCACTGATAAGTGACACATATGTTGACTGGTACCTTAGTTTACTGGCATACAAAATTTCCTAATC